GTCTGTCACTTGTTTCTGTGCTTGGTAGTTCTCCCCTTATGTGGAGCCCACCACAGAAACCTTCCCTATGTAGTACTCCCTTTTATTGAGTCCATAGGATATATCTCCATATGTTACCTCCCATTTGGGTAAGATGTGGTCTCTGTAGTGTTCTTTTCCCACTTGGGAATACGAACACTTCCCCAACATTACAACCAGGACTTTTCAACCGCTATTTTTTCTTGTTTTTCTCAAAATGAGAAAAGGCTCTGACTGGAGGTGACCTCTACCTTATATTGTGGCTCTACTGCATGTTGGAGAGTGAGGTCATAATCTTGGACATTGAGGCGCATTTGGTCGTGGCACACTGGACTTGTCAACATCTGTGCCCCCCATGTACTTGTAATGCAGTTCAGCAGCTGTGTAATTTTGTATAGAGACCCCTAGTGTTAAAACTTTGACACAACGTTGAAGTGACCAACTGAAAGGGAATGTCTTGATTACGTACGGTAACCCTCGTTCCCTGATGGAGGGAACAGTTACAGTGGGGAAAAAAAGTATTTAGTCAGCCACCAGTTGTGCAAGTTCTCCCACTTAAAAAGATGAGAGAGGCCTGTAATTTTCATCATAGTTGTGTTCCTTATTCCACAACTCTGAACCGCTTCTGAGTGGGCTGAGATGCTTCTCGACTCCTCAGAACAAAACGAGTGAGCAAATGCCACGCTGGCCTACTTATACATGGCCAGCTATGTTTTTTTTTTGGCAAATTTCATTGGCCTTTTCTCAATTATGTCAGATGTGTCTGGGCTCCCAAGTGCAACATCTCTGTTCCCTCCATCAGGGATAGGGTTACGTATGTTTCCCTTTAAGAAAGGGAATTGTTGTTGAAGTGCTCTTCTCATACCTGCAAACTCACAAGATGTCAAAAAGGTGACATAGTTCGGAATATGAGCCTTGTAGGGATAATTTTTGAGAATTTAACATGTAAATGAAGCATTCTGGTGCACTCTGACAACAAAACAAAGAAAAAAGACAGCATATGCTTCAAGTAAAAAAAGCATATTTATACCACAAACTTTTTGGACAGTGCAACTCTGTTGTCATCGGTGTTCATACTTCTCTTTGTGAGCTGTGGAGTAATTTATTTTTGCAAATTTTAATCTTCACATTAGAGTGCGCATACTATCAACAGACTCCATCTTTTCACTGCAGAGGAAACAGAAGCTGCATCTGAAGTGGCAATAGATGTATTTACACAGACTGTTTAATGAAGCTGAGGTGCCATAAATGCATTTACGCCACAAAATTGGAAAAATGCAATACTTTTAAATATGAAATGAAACCACCAGTAGATGACGGTAAATTACTGTCTTAATGAGCGAGTCATTAGTTATTCATTCAAACGGCTAATTCATTCAAAAACGAAAGCATGCAGAGCCATCTGCTCTCTGTAGCGGTGCTTTGATGTCATACAGCGATCGGTCTGCGCATTGCTGCTTCAAGTCGAACCGAGAAAGAAACTTTGGTCGAACACACTCCTGTCTACGTAACTTTTATTCTCGCTGTAGTATTGTTGCCGCCGCCACCATGTCGTGAAGGCGCTGACATAATGTGTAAAATTTCATTACACCAAATACACAAAATAATGTTCTTTTTAGCAACATCATATGACCCCTTTAAGGAGTTGTTCTTACAACAGTTTCCAGAACACGTTCGTACAGCTCTGGCAAATACTACAGTGAATGATTACAGGGAACTGGCTCAGTTGGCAGATGAATATCAGGCAGCATCACATAAGTGTATGGCAACTGAGTCAGTGGATACATCTATGTACCCTGTCATAAGAGCTGCAGAACGGCACTCAAATGAGCGGCAAGGACTGTGTTTCTTTCATGCTTCTTTCGGGGTGAAGGTCAAACAAGTGTCGTCCTCCATGCACATTCAGCCAGTCCCGCAGCATGCCAACAGTTAGTAGCATTGTAGCCAATGACACTGTTCTAAACATCTACTGTTCATCCCAGACTCGTTATGGGGCTAACATTTCCTATGTGATATGGTTAGTGCCATGCCTGCGTCGCTGTTGGAAAAATGTTTGGGTAAGGTCGGCCCACCACTTGAGGCAGCCAATCAAGGCAAAATAAGCGCATATGGGAAACGGCTAGTACCACTGTGCTTCAACGGACAATCTTTTACATGGGAGTTTGTGTTAGCAGATGTGAGTAGGCCACTTCTGGGAGCAGACTTCCTGTGCACTAATGGACTGTTGGTTGATGTGAAAAACTGCTGTTTAGTTACTGCGAAAGGCTTCAATGTTTTGCCCTGTTCAAGGAGCACCTTTCCTACGACTACTTTGTCCAGAGCATTGACAGAAGGGTGCGAGTTCACTCGTCTACTGGGTGAATTTTTCAATCTCACTAAACCCACCTTCTCCTCAGCAGTGGCCATCTATGGGGTAGTACATCACATCTCTACATCCGAGCCGCATACATACAGTGTATGCCTAGGCTTGTCGACTGGCAGTTGCCAAGGCCGAGTTCATTAACCCTCTGAGGTCGATTAACGCGGATACGCGTTTTGAGGCATCTTCTCCTGATCACACCGAAAATAACTTAAATTACACTTTCAGTTTTGATCTTACAGATAAGAGCAATACATTAATCGAATCTGTAAAGGGTCTACTTTTATTTAAAACTGGGTATAGTGCGATGCTCTAACAGTCCCTGGGCATCACCCCTTCACATTGACCCCAAAGCGGATGGTGGCAGGGGGCGGTTCCCCTACCATCCAAAGTTGATGCCATTACAGAGTTTCCAACTGCCCGCACAACCAAAGCACTGCAGGAGTTTTTGGGGATGGTAAATTTTTACCACCATTTCATTCCACCGGCAGCTGCACTCATGCATCCTTTGTACAAGGCCCTCAAAAGGAACGGCAGGAAGAAACAGATCCCCTGGTCAGAGGAGATGACTAAATCTAGGGCTGGACGATATGGCAAAAATTTATATCACGATATATTTCTTAATTTCAGTAGATACGATATAATTCCAATATCGATATGAACACTATTAAAAAAAGTCTCGTAAAAACTGCCAAGAACGCCACAACAGATGTATGTGCATACAAACTTATGAAAAATGAATTTGCCAAGTCTCTGACACCTCATAAAACCATATAATATTTTTGAAAAAAAAGAAGAAAAAAAATAAATTAATGTTCACCTTTTATTTGTATTTAGCCTTCATTCAAAAAGGAAATGTGAAATTCTTTCAATCCTGCATTTTTTTAATCCAAAATACAGCAAAAACCGTAACATTTTGAAATATATCTACTATTTAAAATAACGGTTTTCTATTTGAAAATATAATTTATTCCTTTTAAAATATATTCAAATAAAAAGCAGTTATTTTAAATATTAAAAATATTTCATTTTTTTTTTGCTGATCAAATAAATGCAGGCTTGGTGAGCAGAAGAGAATTCTTAAAAAATCTTACTGATCAAAAACTTTTGACTGGTAGTGTAGGCTGATAGCCAGCATAAAGAGTATGAAAAGTGCAAACTGATTGAGGAGGCGCTTTAAGAGCTTTAAGAGCGGTTGAACTAGCGGTTTCTTCAGTAATGGCTGTAATCAAATCAGCTCCGCTCATGAACACTTCTTTATTAGATAAAATAAAAATCCCATCGAAACTTTTCTGAAGACAGTCCTTTCCCTTTAGAGATACATTCATATAAAACACCCGCGACAAGTTTTGATTTTAAAACGTGCAGTGCTCATGTTTATTCAATGAAGTCAAACGCCACAAATAAATCAATGTATGGGAAACACTGGTAATGTAGGCTATATCGAAATATCGGAAATGTTTAAAAACCATATCACCGTTACTGAAAAAAAAAATATCGCAATACATATTGATACTGAATTATTGTCCAGCCCTAAAGAAATCATTGGAAGACGCTAAACTCAAGCAACCATATGAGTCCATACAAACCTAAATAGCGGACTGTTCTCTCGTCTTGTACAGTGAAGGGCAAAAACACATAAATGAAGGTCTACATTTCACTGTCTCTTCATATTAAACTGGTTAAAAGTAAATTAATTTAATTGTACACTGCAATACATGAATAGTGTTGATCTGATATGTTGTTATCTGCGATCGTGACGAATGTAACTTGAGGCTTCTCCCGCTTGCATTGTGATCTGTAAACCCTCGCTTCCAAATTAATACCCACAATATTTATTTTAAAATATTTTATATATCCCTCCATGGCATATTTAAGTCCCACTTGAATGGTGGTGCTTCTGTGTCCAAAATTTATCAAAAAGATATAGGGACAAGGTTTTCACACTGACAGCTGTCATTGTAAGACAGTTAGCATCAATAACTAAGGGAGGCAGGACTTACCGATAGGTAAATTGCTGCTCAATTATAATTTGTGCTCAGTTATTAATAATTATTCTTATTATCAATTTTAAAAAGCTTTTGCTGCTTAATATTTTGTGGAAACTTTTTTCAGGATTCTTTGATGAATAAAGAACAAAACAAAACAAACGAACAACATTTATTTGAAATATAATCTTTTGTAACATTATAAATGTTTATACTGTAACTTTGATCAATTTAATGCTTCTTCATGGAATAAATGTATTAATTTCTATTAAAACAGACACACCCCAAACATTTGAATGGTAGTATATGGTTCCTGCATAAGCAGTTTTTTTTCCATTGATAAAAATTTGAAATGTTTCTTGAGCAGCAAATCAGCATATTAGAATGATTTCTGAAGTATATCATACTTTACTGTTTAAGTCATTTAAATTATGAGCTTGTCGCTTCGCAATCTTGGCAATCTACAGTGTCTAAGTAGCTCACTTTTTGTGGCTCTTTCTGATCTGGGTTTAGTCTCATTTATTTGGTGAGTGAAGGAGCTCTCATTAACAGTTACACTCATACTCATTTAACATGAGAACTGGAGACGTGACCTCACACAGACAGAGACACACACACAGAAAAAAATCACTCACAAATCAAAGACGAGGTAGTGAACGCCCTCCTCTGATATGCTGTCATGGAGCCTCACTGTCGAGAAAACAGAGAGAAAGACTGATTAGATTGTATGGAGCAGCTCACCTTCATACTCGTTAGAATGAGGGAGTGAGATTTTCACAGACTCATTTACTCCACAAATTAGAATTATTTCTGATTCTGCTTCCTTTTATTGTCAAAGATGAATAAAGGGCAGATCCATTAAAGCTGAAATGTGTAATTTTTTTTAGTTTAAAATTCTTTCTTCTGTCCCACCTTAATATGCAAACACATTCTATAAGGCACTTTCAAGTGATTTCCTTGAACAGTGAAAATGTTGTGGTGGTATCAACTTGTTTGTGCATCCTAACCTGCTTAACACAGCAACACTGACTCAACCAAAGATGCCACCCACTCGTACGTTAAAAGATGGATACGTAAAGGGCTACCTTAAAATGGACAAATATAGGTATTTACATGGCAAACATCTTTAGCTGCTGACTGGAACAGCCTTCACACAAACAGCAAGCCTACGATGCCTAAAACACTGTATAGGTATGTAGAATTCAGACCATTGCACATCAGTATTAACAATAACTCAGTCTTGCCACACAGCAAAATAAAAAGTGGAAATCTTCTAATGAAACCGAAGAGATCATGACAGATATTGATTAAAGTAAGTAGAGGGAATTCCTAATGTAATTTATCAAAGGAATCAAAAGCCTTGACCTTTTGACTTAGAAATATGGATGGACTACATGGGGGAAAAAAGAGACAGAGAGGAATCCCCTCTGTATAAATATCTCATACATCTTCTCTCATCTATGATACAGTTGGTTGCTCAAACCTGTTGCCATAGTGACAGAAAGAGAATGGCTTTCCAGCTGATGGTTGCTTTGGAGAGGAGAAATCCCTCTGCTAGTTTAGGAAAGCCACTGGGTTTTAGATAGATAGATAGATAGATAGATACAGTGGTGTGAAAAAGTGTTGGCCCCCTTCCTTAGATAGATAGATAGATAGATAGAGACAGAAGATAGTAAGGTTGTCAAATTTACATTGGAATAAAACTGTTAAAACTTTTTGTCATCTGATGTAATCTCTGGAACAAAAACACATTGAATTGTTTCAATGGCTTAGTGTTCTCATGTAAGAAGATGAACATATGGGGGCGGGAATGCGATACTAAAATTTCAAGCATATCTGTAGCTTTGTGTTATAGCTATAATTACTGCTAGAATTCACCCACGCTTGTAATCTCGCAGCTGGCTAGGAGGTTGTGAGTGTGGGCAGAAAAGCATGGCCATTTTTAGCTGTTACCACCTTAACAGTTAGAGGTCAGATTTGCATGACCTAATTACGATGAATCACTCAGCACTGAAAAATCCATGAATGTGAGCACTATGAAAGAAATTTAATTGTCGTAATGTAGATATTTAATAGTTTATGCATGGACTTAAAACAGAGTAAGTGATCCAACACTGTGTCCAAACAAGAGTGAAAATCCATACTCAATACTCTTGCAGTGCAATGTTGCGATGTTGTATCTGAGTTTAAATTAGATTTTCTCCAAAATAGCCATAACAAGTGATTAGACCTTTTATCGGTTGCTTCACTGTGACACTGGGTAGCTTCACCGGTCAAGGAAGTGCATTTGGGGGTGCCAGCTACATGGTCTGAACCACTACCTCTTTGCCCTCATGGGCTTTCAATCCATGCTAAAGTATTCTGTATTCACTCTTCTGCCCTGGATCCACAATGGGATTTCCATTTCTCGCTTGTGCCCCAGTCACGCTCACCAAACAGCTAGATCATTTTTGCTTTCACTGAAGACACAAAAATTACAGTGAAGCTTGAACATTGTCATGTCACATTTGGTTTGAATACTTACTATATTTTAAATGCTGTACATAAAACAGCTCATAAAACAGTGGCAGTTTTTGTGCTGTAAGGCCATGGCAAGTGAACCTTCACTGGAGAATGTGAGTGCATGTGGCTGCACTTACCAATGTTGGGATTCTTGAGTAGACGACAAATCCGGGCCTCTCGTTCCAGTTTTTGGTGATCTACAAAAAAGAAAAACATGTTTGTGTTTGTTAAAAAAAAAAAAACATCTCCCGACTCTTCTGAAAGCACTTGACTGTTTAACTTGTCTTTGGATAAATGTTTCTGCTGAATGACATAAAGTGAAATGTTTGTTTAGCAATGGAAATTAGTGAATATCATAGGACAGATATGTTTTGGATCTGAACTCTGCTCTACTGGTTTAAATTAGGAAAACCAAAAAAGGTTAAAAAAAAATGTTGTCTCTACTCATTCCTCTGAGGTCAAGTAATTAGATAGAATATGCAAAATGCAAACAATATAAAAAACAAGCAAACAATAGTAATTGCAATCTAATGATGAACTCTAAGATTTAATTGTGATGGACTGCAATATTTCAAAAAAGTCTTGAAGCTTTTTTGGGTGAATTTCATGCAAATGTAGACGAAACAAAGGAAAATGAAAGCATATATATATATATATATATATTAGTGCTGGGCAACAATTACAATATTTAATCGCATGATTTTCTGCAATAACAATTGCATTGTTATACACAAAATTCAAAAATGAATTCAAAAGTAGTGTATTGTACCCTTTTTTATTTAAAAGTACTGCTATATGAACAAAAGTGCAATAACATTTGGTTTGCAAACAATTTAAACAAATAAGGTGCTTTTTTACACCAGTGTTCCTTTCACATAGTAGCAGTTAAAATATTTATTGTAAATCTCAACTTATAATATTAATGTAATCAAATTAAATATAAAACCAAAGTTATTTGCCACTGCCGGGGCATTAACGTTTTTATAGAAAATATTTTATAGTTTGTTACAGAAAAACAAGTTATGCTCAGAGTCCAGAGCCTCGATCATAACATTATAACAGGCACCTTCCGAGTAGACCTGCACTATTGCGGGACCCAACGCAGCAGAGTGCAGTGCGGGACAACACTTGATGGGTGGGTAGAGACTCGTGTGAGCGGGATGCGGGAGAATAAGGGTGTACTCACACTAGGCAATCTTAACCGTGCCCTAGCACGTTTGATCCCCAAAGCCCGGTTCGTTTGACTAGTGTGATCGCTCCGCGCCGCGCTCAGGCGTGGTTCGTTTAGCCATCCCTGGCTCGGTTGGAAGAGGTGGGCCAGAGCACGGTTCACTTATATATAGATCAGTGAGTACAGAGCAGAACTTATGATACGTGCTGCATGATTGCGTGAACATTTCTGAGCGGCAAGAGCGATTTTGTTACCGCGTTCCAAATGACTCAAAATAATAAACCACAAAGTTAACAAAAGGATGCACGCCACTGTGCTGAGTGAGAGCGCTTCTCTGCTGTTTTCACATGCTATCGGAAACTTACTATTTCCCACTTATGAAGTTGTGAGCTCTTCATGTGAGCGCTGCTGCTAGCTTCACCCCATATGCTCTCATTGGTTGAGACGCGTGATGACGCCCATCCCAAGCCAGTACTGTTAAGTGTGATGGACTGCTATATTTCAAAAAAGTCTTGAAGCTTTTTTGGGTGAATTTCATGCAAATGTAGACGAAACAAAGGAAAATGAAAGCATATATATATATATATATATTAGTGCTGGGCAACAATTACAATTTTTAATCGCATGATTTTCTGCAATAACAATTGCATTGTTATACACAAAATTCAAAAATGAATTCAAAAGTAGTGTATTGTACCCTTTTTTATTTAAAAGTACTGCTATATGAACAAAAGTGCAATAACATTTGGTTTGCAAACAATTTAAACAAATAAGGTGCTTTTTTACACCAGTGTTCCTTTCACATAGTAGCAGTTAAAATATTTATTGTAAATCTCAACTTATAATATTAATGTAATCAAATTAAATATAAAACCAAAGTTATTTGCCACTGCCGGGGCATTAACGTTTTTATAGAAAATATTTTATAGTTTGTTACAGAAAAACAAGTTATGCTCAGAGTCCAGAGCCTCGATCATAACATTATAACAGGCACCTTCCGAGTAGACCTGCACTATTGCGGGACCCAACGCAGCAGAGTGCAGTGCGGGACAACACTTGATGGGTGGGTAGAGACTCGTGTGAGCGGGATGCGGGAGAATAAGGGTGTACTCACACTAGGCAATCTTAACCGTGCCCTAGCACGTTTGATCCCCAAAGCCCGGTTCGTTTGACTAGTGTGATCGCTCCGCGCCGCGCTCAGGCGTGGTTCGTTTAGCCATCCCTGGCTCGGTTGGAAGAGGTGGGCCAGAGCACGGTTCACTTATATATAGATCAGTGAGTACAGAGCAGAACTTATGATACGTGCTGCATGATTGCGTGAACATTTCTGAGCAGCAAGAGTGATAGATCTGTAAAGCAATATATTGTGAGAGAGGGCCATGTGTTACCGCATCCCAAACGACTCAAAATAATAAACCTCAAAGTTAACAAAACTATGCACTCCACTGTGCTGAGCGAGAGCGCTTCTCTGCTGTCTTCACGTGCTATCGGAAACTTCCTATTTTCCACTTATAAAGTCGTGATTAGAGCACGTTGCATTCTTTTCTGTTAAAAATAACAGTGATCAGTGGTTTGTGAATGTTGATGCTTAGTCTAAATAATTTGATCGGGAGCATTCATGTGAGCGCTGCTGCAGTCTTAGGCCCACCCCAAATGCTCACATTGGTTGAGACGCGTACTAATCCCAAGCCAGTACTGATCAACATCTCACCCCTCCTGTGACCCATGATTTGTCTGTATGTGTATTCAGAGCCAGTGAGCAATGGACTTTCATAATAATAAAAAACGTCTCAGGTTACGCATGTAACCATGGTTCCTCAAGGGAACGAGACGCTGCTAGAGGTTTCGGGTTAATGTTTAATGAATAGCTTCGGGTTCGGGTCGGGCTCGGGCTTATAGCTAAACTAAAACTATATGCAGTAGCCTAGGCTATGCTGCTTTCATAGACGCATGCACACAAATTATAGCACACGACAACACAGCACGGAAACTTTTATTAGTAAAATAGCTTTGACAGGCTACTGACTGACTCGTAACTTTATATTTCTCTGCAATGAGGGGGTAAAATCGCTGTTTTTGAAACAACTAAGCCTCATTGCTTGTAGAGAGAGGCGCGCACAGATGCAGGTTCACACACGCAACTTTCATCCCTCTCTCTCGCTCTCTCTCTCTCGCTAATTCAAATAAATTATATAATTCATTCAAATAAATGCGATCTTACCACACTGCATCTCTGTGTCTGATTTAAAGCAGGCTGAATGCTAACGAGCCTTAACTGATGAAAATGACCATAATTTGCATGATGAATTATCGTCTTGTCGTATACAACCATTCAAAAACTCGGCAGAATTTATGTGACCGAGGCACCTGATGTTCATAAACTTTCATAACTGGTAAGTGTTTTTTCTTTTGCCTTGTGAACTGGCCGAGCCTTAATGATTCTGTTTCTTTTCATGTATTTTTTTACTGACCGTTGCATGCAATAGTGAAATACAGCATTTTTGTTTTAATTGGCTATTCGTTGTAAAAAAAAAAAAAAAAAGATTTCGGGTCGGGTTCGGGCTCTAAATTGAACTGTGCCGCTTGGGTCGGGTTGGGCTGGGTCAGACGATCTCGGGTACGGGTCGGGTTCGGGCTTCAGTTTAAAGCCTGTGCAGAGCTCTAGACGCTGCGTCGGAGGACGCTTTGGGAACGCCCTTCAGTGTGACCGGCTCTGAACCACGTGTGTAATCAGTCCAATGGATGGGCGAGACGTCACGGGCAGGGTGACGTAGCGACCAGAAAGCTTAAAAGCACGTGCGGTGAAACCGGCGTCAGCTTTCTGTCATTCAGCAAGAGCTCTGTGTGTGTGTCAGTCTGATATCTGTTTGTGAGTCTTATTTAGTGTTGTCTGCACCACCTTGCATCTATTCCCCGGGTCTCGGCCCCTGCCTCAACAGGATGTCTGCTCCCAAATTGAGATGCCCAGGAATGTGAACTGCTCTCAGCGAGAGAAGTTTACCCTGGGACCACACAAGGATCTGGTACGCTAGTTTGTACAAACGGCGTGAGCACAGACTTTCCTGGTGGTTAATGTAAGAGACCACCGCTGTGTTGTCGGTGTGCACCAACACATGGTGATCTCTTAGGTCTGGGAGGAAGTCTGCCCCCTCAGGGGCCACACCCACAACTCCCACAGCTCCGGGCGGGGTGGATGATCGTACCCTCCGCCTGTGAGAGGAGATCTCTCCTGATGGGAATCTCCCATGGAGTGCCGTCGAGGAGAGAAATCAGGCCCGACACTTGGCCCTGCCAGAACAGGGCTACTAGCAGAAGACGGACCCCGTCCCGGCACACTCTCTCCAGAACTCCCGGGAGCAGAGCGATCGGGGGAAAGGCGTACAGACGAAGCCTCGGCCATGTCTGTACCATGGTATCCAGCCCCAGTGGAGCTGGATGAGTGAGAGAGAACCAGAGGGGACAGTGCGATGTCTCTCGAGTCGCAAACAGGTCCACCTGAGCCTGGCCAAAAACTCACCAAGGTTTCCTCCACATGTCCAAGGCACATAGGCATCGCCGCATGGGTTTGCCCTCTGGGTGAATGCCTTGGTTTTGAGTCACCACTGTAGGGGTCTCATGTACAGCAGACCAAGAAGTATCACGTTGGACGCAGCTGCCATCTGACCCAGCAGTCTCTGAAACTGCTTAACAGTGAGTGACCGGCCTTCTCTGACTCTCGCGACTGTGGGAGGAACGACTCGATCCGAGCAGGAGACATACGTGCCTGCATCGTGGTCGAATCCCACACCACGCCCAGATAAGTGGTTCTTTGTACTGGAGAAAATCTTAACCCCAGCTCTTTCGTGTGAATGAGAACGACATCTCGATGTCAAACCACCATGTGCTCTGATTGAGCTAATATCAACCAATCGTCGATGTGGTTGAGTCATGAAAGTGTGGGGTGAGAGTGCAAGGCCAAAGTTAGAACCGGTATTGGTAGGCTTTTTCCCCCAAAAGCAAGCCTCAGGAACTTCCTAGGATGAGGAA